GTTGAGGATTCCCCATCCCTGGAAGTGTTCAAGGCCAGGTTGGATGGGGCTTTGAGCAATCTGATCTAGTGGAAAGGTCCCTGCTCATGGCAGAGGGGTTGGAGCTAGGTGATCTTTGATTCATTCCAACTCAAACTGTTCTAAGAGTCTGTGACTGCTCTATGTGAGAGACATGCTCCTGCTTTTTTTTGACCTTTGAGGAGTAGAGCTGTACCCCTGCTTGTTAAGATGCTTAGCCTGTTTGTTGTCACTGATGGCAAGTGTCCCATTTGTCACTTTACTTTAGCCTCAGCAGTAAATTGTTCCCTCCCTTGGCTCCTTCAGAGACCTGCTTGTCATGACTTCTGTGGCAGTGTCCTTGCTCCACTACTGCTACCTGAGCCTGGGAGGAGGTTCCACCTTACTGCTCTGTAGCAGAAATATTCCATTGCCTTGGCTAAAAAATAGGTTTCAGTGCAAGTAGTGCCACAGGAATCTTACAGCTGAAGTAATGGCTGTTGGCATGCAATCCCTGTATAATCCCTACATGAGGGATTATTTCATTGTTTAAAGAAGTCCATGGGAACTTTATCATTCTTGAAGCCAGATTTGATAAATTGTGGGACTAATGTGATTTATCTCTCCTATGAGGGTAATGTCATAGAACTTGTGATACGACGGACGTGGATAAAAATTGTATTCCCAGTGGAATGTTGAGATGGGAGGAAATTCTTCAGTACAAGAAATGTGTACTTATGAGCTGTCCCACTCACCAATGCCTCTTGTCTTCCTGTGCCTGTCAACTCTCCTTCCTCCTAGGGCAGATACCTCCATGGGAGATGCAGTAAGCTGTATGTAGTCTTTAGTTTTGGGTATTCTATAGCCAGTCAGAATAACATAAAGGTATCCTAGAATGTGTTTTTTACCTCTCTTACATTTATAGAGTGCGTTGAAAAAGGTCTAGAGTCTGAGTAAAGACATTTTTGTTCATAATAGATTTCAGATGACCTCATCTAGCCCTGCCACATCAAATGGTTGCCTGAATGTCTGTGATGCTCCACGTCCAGTTACATCTTTGAGGTCTACAGGCAGAGCCTCAGGCAATATATTCTCTATACAGATGCCTTCTTGCATCCAGAGACAATATCTGTATCTGCTAAATAGCTGTTGCTGTGGTGTCACGATCTATTTTTTGTAAGTTTCTTTTTTTTCCCCCACAAGTTATTGATCTAATAGCTTAAAAATATCTCTTTCAATTAAGTTTTAGGACCCTGTCATTCCTTTTGCTACTTTATTTCACAATGCAGATATTGGATGCCTCCCATCAAAGGATTGTAGCTCTTTCAATCCAGTGGGGATCAGGAAATAAAGGAAGGGCTTTTCAAGATGCATTTTTTAGCAAAATACCCTGGGAACTCTGGAGGTATGGACTGTGCTAGCAGACAGCACGTATTTGTCAGGCAATTGTGTTTTTACTGATCCTGCCTAAGTTCCTTCATCAGATGGTAAGAGTTGTACTGTAACCAGATGATTAATTTATGCCATATTTTACTTGGCTGTGCTGGAATTATGTGGCTGAGAAGGCAAGAAAATGGCACAATGCATATACCTGGGCTGAGCAGGAGGGATGTCAGTAGTGAGGGTACCATGAAGAAATCAATAATTAAAAGGAAAAAAGTATTTTCTCTTCAGTGAGACAGCCCCTACATACACCCATAGTGTGAATGTACATGATTGTCACATCTTAGAGGGCTCTTTACACCATATAAGTTTTTAATCTCATTGTAGTATTTTTGTTTTCACCTTGTAGAAAGGAGATCGCTGTTAAGCTGCATTGGGTTGAATGGGTCCTTGCACAGTGTAGTTCTTGTGTGTATGTAATTTTAACCAAGAAAACTCCTCAACTGAGCTTTAATTCCCATGCTTACTCATGTTTTTCAGGCAGTTATTTTCTTCTAGTGCATGTAAATTTCATGTTAAGCTGTTAATCAGAAAAATACAGGGAGTGTTTTAGTAGCTCAGGAGAACATAATTTTCTAACATACCTTTTTTTATTGTCTACAAGTTTCTGGGCACTAATATAAGCGCACACAGGCAGAAATTCATCAGCCTCCCCCACCCCCAGGAGACTACTTATTAGATTTATGCAACAGAAGATATTAAAAACACTTTTGTCTGTCACACAGCCACGGGCAGGGGAGGGGGAATTTGCCAGTTGCTAATGGATACCTGGCGTTTTTGTGTATGACCATGAAGAACAGCTTGTGCACTTTCACCCCCGATGTTCCCTGAATAACTTGGGTCTCATTTAGGTCAATAAGCCTTTATCAAAACGTCAGGAGTGAAAAATGTGTCTTGGTGTAAGCCGACTGGTCGTTCCCTCCAGTCAGCGGAGTCTATAGGACAATCAATGTTCTCTAAGCTTGTCTGCATGTCACGCAAAGAGCTGGGTGACAGTAACCATTGAGTGCGTGTCTGTCGCATTGTCTTTGGGACAGCCCCCATTTGCATACTTGCCGGTGTGCCTGTTAGCCACTGAACCATGGAGGGGCTTTAGGAAACATACGCGCACAGCTCCCATGCAAATTCCCTGCGTGGGGAACGCTCGCTCCTTTGGAGCACAATCCAGGCTTTCTCTTCCTACCTTCCTCCCGTAAAACTGAAACTGCCGTCCTGACAGGCCTGCTCTGCCTGGTCACAGTGCTGTGTGTGGTTCCATTGTGCTAAAACATCAACTTTTGCTCTGGGTTTTTCTTTGCGTACCAAGGTAACTTTTTTCCTCCTTTTGCTTTTAGTAATTGCTTTTGGGGCTATCTGAACAGTATTATCTGTGCTTCACACACGATGTGAAGCCATATATCCCATCCTCAGACGAGCTGTTTTGAATGGAGGACAGTTATTGCTCCCTGTGTGGTTGGAATTGTATTTGTAAAGGGAATTTCCTCCATGGTAGTGAAGGGAAATGTGCTGGTTCTCTGCAAAAGGAAGAGCACTTAGATATTAGGGTTTATTGACTGGGTCTGTGAGAGGAATACAATCACCTGATCAGATAAGATTTCCTCTTGTGCTCTCTTTTCTGTGACAATTCCACAGCACCTCATGTCAAGCAGAGCTCATAATTCTCACATTCCGTTTTGGTTCATAAGTGACATTAGACTGGATAAAGGGAGAATTTCATTGCATTTGAAGCTTCTATCATAAGACACTGGCTTTTCTTAAAGCATCTGGTGCAGATGCTGTTTTCTTTCAATTTATGACATTCATTATGTCTTTAATTTATTGGAAAATATTTAAAAATAGTTCAATTTTAAAGCAAAAAAATGGTGGAGGGTTCTAGTGGATCCTTTCAGAAGGACGCTCTAGAAGAGATTCTTGCCTGGGTTCAAGGGTCTGAGCTTTATGTTTATTACAACCAATGCTCTGGACAGTTCTATTATATCTTAAAAATCTACCTTGAATACAAGTGATTGTAAACAATTATGATAGCCGTTCTACTGCATCTGACACCTTGTACAGGTTATGAGATGTCAAAATTAAGGGAAAGCGTTCTGTCTCATGTTCTACCAGCTTTGCTAGAAAAGTCCTGGTTGAGCTTCAACATTTTCTTGTCCTGAGATGAACAGGTGTTTTATGCCATCAAGATGTTTTAGAGCCACAAAGATATTATAGCAAAGTCAACTAATGCCTAACCCTTTCCTCATTATTTTTACTGTATATAGCCTTACTATTTTGCTCAGTATTCGGGGCAACGTCACATGCATTTTTGAAGGTGATAATGACTCCCATTCATCTTGACTAAACTAGGGCTGTGTCCTGGCTATTTCAGTTAATTAAGAAAATAATCATAGGTAGCATCTTGAGTCCCATTTACCAATTTGTTATGCAAAACAGCAGTGAATGCTGCAGACGTGAGAGGGCTGGATAGAATGTTCAGCAGCACGTTGTGTTCTCTGCAGTTGCTCTTTATGTGAAATCATCCTTTGAAATAAGGAGCTTGTTCTCTTAATCTGCACTAACCTGTGTAACCATGACATCTTGAGACTGGTTTCTTGGCTGCACTCTTACTTTACATACACCATGTGCTGTGTGTTTTCAATGCCAAGCCACTTTTTCCATGTCAATAAATAGATTTTGTTGTTTGCTCTGGTGGAGAATGTGACCATTTATGAATTGAGTTGGCCCGTAAGGAAAGATTGCAGTTCCCTGATACTCAAGGAAGCTTTGCTGGGTATGTCATGTTTGCCTAATCTGTAGAAAACCCAAGGTCTTCTGCACATTGATAACATTCCACACAGGACCTAACTATACATCTGTCCAATCAGCAAGAATATCAGGTGTCTTTGTCATCTGTCACCTTGGATGCATTTCCAAAGTCATACCTTAGTATAGGTTAGTAGTTTATAAGTAGCTTGGTACCAGCAGTGCTGCAGGACTAGATCTCTGTTTCTGCTGAAGTCCCTAAATGCTGACAAGAGGATGGGAAAGGTGTGTTAGAGAGCTCACTTTGTCTTCACTGTACCTGGAGACTAAAATATTGGTGATGGATGCTAGAAACCATGTTTCAATCCACATGAGTTTAAAGGAAGACTGAAAAAGTATAAACAAGAGGGAAGTTGAGCTGATCTAGTAAATGGTACGTGAAGCACACCTCTTCCCAAAATGAAATAAGCCAGGAAAATGCTCATCTTCTAAATACAGACTCTGCTTGTTTTCTTTGGCTCAGTCAAGAAACCTTTTGTTTGAATTGAAAGAAGTGAATTGCACAGCATGGTTTTCAGTTTTAGTACATGCAGACAATCCGAAATGTATGCAATCAAAGTATTTCAATTTACTCCTAATAATTTCTTTATCTATTCTTACAGGTTTTTTTTAATTTTTCTTAAGATCATTTTTTGTATAGTTGATATATTTTCCACCTTCCTAATTTTGCATTTTGTTTATTGCTTTCTGATACATTCTGAAACAAGATAAAAGACATATAGAGTAGAGAATTAACCTAGTTCCCTGTGTGTTTCTTTTAGGAAATTGTATTAGTGGTATTCTTTGGAACAGAATATGTGGTTCGGCTATGGTCAGCAGGATGCCGCAGTAAATACGTTGGAATATGGGGAAGGCTTCGTTTTGCTAGGAAGCCTATTTCAATCATTGGTGAGTATGCAGATCTTGTTGATGTAAACAATGAGTAAAACCTGCCCTAAAGGCTTTTAGAAGTTGAACTTCTGCAGCAGTTGAAGGCGAGCTAGAGCGAAAGCTCTTGTCATTAGTGTGAATGTAGATCTGAATTTCCTTTCAGGAATTCATGGCACTGTCATTTGAGAACAAATGCAACTTGGTTTGTTTTTCAAGAATAGCTGAGTGGTTTTTTTCAGAAGTGATCTTCAGCTTTGCCAGGAATAAGTCTTGGCTGTAGTCCTGTCTCCTGTGACCTGAGGATCCCAGACACTGTACAAGAGCTACAATTATATTTTTTAAAAAATACTGAACAGCCTATTTCCTCCCCTCAGTAGCCATTTAACTAGTTTGTTATGAGTTTGTTTTGCACTCTAATTGAGTGGCGTGTTGCATGGTAGAGCACAATAGATGAACTGTAATTCTGTTAGTTTTAATTGAATTAAAATATGGTTTTCAGTGATGCATTTGGAGCTGGACACCTCAATTCCCTTGGGATTCGATTGGCTTCCTAAAACGACTTAAGGGTTCTTGGAAATTACATCCAAATATTCCATATATGTCACTAATCATTGTTTTTTTACAATGCTTGTCATTCATTTAAAAGTTTCACCAAAATAAATACAGTCCAAAATCAATCTGTATTTTGTTAGCCAACATTGAAAGAACTGTATAAAGACGCTTTCCCTGTACTTAAGTACTTGAAATATAAATGTACTAAATAAATCAGACATTGGAAGAGGAGTATTGTTATGGAAGAGTAGTAATTCTTGTTCTGTGACATAGATTTTTCCACTACTCATTATATGAGTATACTTATTATACTCATTATATGTTGTTGAGTACCAGACATAGGTTTTCATAGACTGTCTACAGTTTTGCTGAATGTAAATTACAAAATTTTTTACCTGGGTATTTTTACAACTATAAAATGGTTTGATTTAGCTCCTCTGTGCATCTGTCCATATAGATATATATAGATATATATAGATATATATAAATAAATATTTATAATAACTGCATCTTAGGTGTGACTGCAGCTATAAAAATACTGCATCTTTGCACTCTGGCCATGATCCATTTCTCTCCAGTGCTAAAACACTAAGCATTCTTAAACATCAACCAAATTAATTCAATTTGGAAAGCAAAATGCAGTTCATCTTTCCCAGATATGGATCAAGAACTATTTAATTCTCAAAAATACAGAGTTCCTTTCCAAAATTTACTAGGCCTGAGGCACGTGGGTTTAGAGTACAGAGTACTGACTGACTTAAACTAAATTAGACTCATACCCTAATTCAAATTTTCTCTCCCTTTCAGACTTGGAAAGATGAAATGATAGCAAGGCAATTTTCTTATATATGAAATGAACCTCAAAATCTCTGTCAATTAAAATCCTGTATAAGCACAGAAGAGAAAATAAGAATTGGAGAAGATAGAATAGATGGAAACTGCTGAAATTCCTCCAGGGTTAAAGCTAATAAGGATTCCAGGCTGCTTCACAGTAACTCCTCATACATCTAGACTGCAGCCAGCTTGGACCCATCTCAGTACAATCTTCTCATCACATCACATGATGAAAGTTTTTTTTACATGCCACAATTAAGATCTTTCAATATATAAACAAAAATAGTAATTAGGAGTGACTGTTCAACTTGTTAGAGTAATATCGTTATAGTAGACTTGCAGAAGTATTGCAAGATGCAGTAATTAATTTTCTTCAATTGACTTTTATTTTCCAGATTTAATTGTAGTTGTTGCTTCCATGATAGTTCTTTGTGTGGGCTCTAAAGGTCAAGTCTTTGCAACCTCTGCTATCAGGTAATTATATGCAATAAAAGAAAGTAGTGCTATCTGAGCAAGATTGTGTTTCTTCTTTTTTTCAAATTTACCTCCTGTTTCAGTCCTTGCAGGAGAAAATGAGTCACTGCCCAGTGTCGTGTAATAGAGCAGATCACTGATCATGTATTGGTGATCCCATAAAAGTGTAGGGGAGATAAAATTTTGTTGCAAATGCTTTTATGGCTAGTGACGATAAAGAAGTTCATTCTCCTGCCCCCATTCCCCAACTAGGTAGGTTCTGCCCAAATCCTGATTTTCTTTCTTAGCTCAGTTTTAAAGCAACTCTTTGATGCCTCATATCTGTGACATCTTCAAGCAGCCTCTTCATAAAATGTCTGTGGTTGTGAATTCCTGATGGACTGAATCCCCCTTGTGCTCAGGAAGGCCACACCACTTGGTTTTCTTGGGTGAATGGCTGGCAGTGTGCTTTGCTATCCACACTAGCTGTAGCCATGCTCCAGGATTGCAGTGACTCCCATAAAAATGATGTTTTAAAGTATCATTGGACTGTCTGTTTCAAATTGCCTATGAAATTCCTCAAAGATGAGGAAATCAGATCTTCAGTTAGCTGGTTCCCATCCTGTTGAGCAGGTCAAATATGAGTTAATGAATGGTTGCTAGAGCATTTACTGTTTGTGCCCTGAATTCCTGAAAATTCCCGAATCCTTGAGTTATCCTTACTAGCCACATGAACAATCTCCCCAGGCTGTCGTCATAACAAGCAAGAAGAAAGACGGGTGAGCGGAGTTAAGAGACACAGGCTGCTAAGTCTAATATAAAATACTCTGCGTATGCTCTTAAAATGGTCTTTTGGAATCCAGAGTTCCCTTTTCCACCAGTGTTTCTTCTCTCGTGTGTTTGGTCTCTTCATTAATTTGAAAATCGTGTTCCAGGGGCATCCGTTTCCTGCAGATTTTACGGATGCTGCACGTTGACCGTCAGGGCGGTACCTGGAGGCTGCTGGGATCAGTGGTGTTCATACACAGACAGGTAAGTTTGGGCACTCTGAGGAAGGGCACAGCTGATGCCAAAGACTTTATATTCAGAACAGCATACATTTAGCCCTGCTGCTGCTATCATTTATATTTAGTATGGAGTCAAGTAGTCATTTATTTTAACCAGGTGTGGTTGTTGCGCCTGATGTTCGCTGCCACTTTGGCAAATTTTGACTTGTAGTTGGACTCAACAACAGAAAATGAGACTTCTGAAAACTAGTCTGAATATTTCCTAAAATATGTATTTAAATTCCAGAGTTGTTTTGAACCTGGCACTGTTTGAAAGTTACCCAACTACGTTTTGGTGGCCAGAAGGTTAATGAGTGCTGTGTGACAAGGTTGTTTTCACTCTCTGTTGTCTGCGTAGCACAGTGAATTTTTGTTAATTTGCACAGCCAACACTCAGTGTCAATATTTTATAACTGCTGAAATTGCATTTTTGTCTTCCAGTTATCTTTTGTAGCCCATCAGTGTTAGGAAATTTAAATGTCTCAGTGAGATCATAATGCCATTATTTTGATTCTTTTTGCAGGAACTGATAACAACACTCTACATTGGATTTCTGGGCCTAATTTTTTCCTCTTATTTTGTGTACCTGGCTGAGAAGGATGCAGTAAATGATTCTGGAGAAACAGAGTTTGGCAGCTATGCAGATGCCCTGTGGTGGGGAGTAGTAAGTATAGCAATTTCACATGTTAACACAGTCCAATGTGGAGTAAGAACAGCACTTTGAAACAGCTTCTAACAGCTCCAATACACTTTCTGGGTTTGTAATTCCATGACACTACAGAAATACTATAGAAGATCAGTAATATTATTTGCTGTTTACAGTCTTATGTGATCTAAAGTGATCACATTACATTAAAGAAATATAGAAACACATATTCTGTTTCTTTATCCTGTCTTCCCTACTGGTACAGTGATTATTTCTTGCTACCTTTGTCATGGCAGTGTTCAACTGTCCAAGATAGTAGGAGTCTTGCTAAATCTAGGCTAGTTTTTTTGAGAGGGGTTGATTTTAGATTTTCTTTGTCTATCTTTTTATTGAGTTGGGTTTTTTTTTTCCTTTAAACAGCTATATAGCTATGTTTTGCAATTTGACATTCCCAGTTTATTCAGAATGGACTAATTCTGGAGCAAGAAGCATCTAGGATAGATAGGAAATCCAGGCACAGGACTCTTCTGAGGTGGTTATATTGCTTTGGGAGCCACTTAGTGTCTCTACAGGGCATTTATTGTGCTGTATTGTAACCACGTTGTCCTGAGATTTCTCAGCTTTTTTTAAGGCACTGCCACAACTTGCCTGTAGATGTATCTTTGGTTCTGGTAGTAAAGTTCTCCTTTATTGGTCTTACTAGTGACAATTGTCTCTTTGGTTATTACATGCATTTACCAGTGTGGCAGCTCTATTCCAGGATTATGTTCTCATAAACATTTAATTTTGTTGATTCTGCTAGTAACTATTCCCTCTTTTGTCCTCACATGATACACAAATACTAGGTTGGCAATTTTGTTCTGGGATTTCCCATCTGTAATTGTTCTTATTTTTGTTTCCTATTGCAGTTCAAAGAAAGGTACTTTTTGGAAGCTATTTTTCCTTCTCATTAGCATTCAAGCAATGGCTTTTTTAATCTGCTTTAATTTTATTAGTGTAATCAAACAAACTGTCGTCAGTAAGTGCTACTGATCTTTGAAATGCATAGGCATCACTGATAACATGCTTGCACTTTCAAAATGTGCTGGTCTTATAGAGATTTTCTTTGCTGTTTTAAATCAAAAGACATTGTTTCTCTTTTTTTTTTTTGTCAAAAATAATGCTAACTAAAAGGTCTTCTGTATAGGGGTGATAGGACTAACACCTCAATTTTACTAATAAAATACATATATGTATTTAAGAATATATATTAAGAAATATTTTTAATAAAGTGTATGTGTGCTTATAGAGTTTGCTCTTTACAAACTATCACTTGCTGTTTCAGGAAGGAAAGATCTGTTGATGAGCAAATCCACTGCAGGTCTGCTGGTGCTGAAATGCATATGTAGCCCTTTTTGAATACAACAGGTTTTGTTTTGTTGTATTGTTTTGCTGCTATAATCTGCTGTAGAATTCTTTCTTCTTGCTGTCTGCCATGGTTAAATACAGGCTTTCTTAGGACCAGAAGACTTACTGTGTAGCACAAGAAAGTGGCTTTCTGTCAAGTAGCTTTTTTCAATGCTTTCATGTCATTATGGCATTTTTGTTTTCCACTACAGTGGTCAGATGACTCAGTAATTAACAGTGGCAGATGTAGCTGCATTTAAAAACACATGCTGTCATTGGCGTTGGCATTAAAAACTGAGTATGTGACAGACCAGATTGGCTTACTGAAAATACAGTAAAACCTCCCATAGAAGCAACACGATCTGTCAGGATATTGAAATATTCTCCTTTCAGGGAATTATTGTTCAGTTAATAGGCGTGCCAGTTATTTTGTCTTCCTAATTACAATAAACTTATTTAATCAATACATTTAATTATGATAATATTTTTTCTCTGTTATAGCTTCTATTGTGTTGCAGCATGCCACATGAAGTATGAGACTGCATTCAATGAACACATAATGTAATTTCTTTAATATTAAATGTGGAATTAGGTGTCCTTATTCTGCTCTAACACACTTCCACTAACTGCTAAAAAGATTTAACAGAACAAAACTGTGATGGATTCAGGTCCATCCATTTCTGATTTCTTGATAGTGTAATATTCTTCATTCTTTCTGCTAGGAAAAAGCCCTGTAAAGTTAGGACAGAGAAGTTAGCCCACAGAAGCTGTGGATGTCCCATCCCTGGCAGTGTTCAAGGCCAGGTTGGATGGGGCTCTGAGCAACCTGGTCTTGTGGAAGGTGTCCCTACCCATCTCAGGGGGTTGGAACTTAGGTGGTCTTTAAGGTTTCTTCCAACCCAAACCATTCTATGATTCTATGAAGAGCTGGAAAGTCAAAAAGATTCTCTCAAATAAAGGTCTCAAACTCATACAAAAACCATCTCAAGTGTTAGATCTTGAAAGTTGCAGTTACATTTAGCCAGAATTTTCTGAATTTCTTAAGCAGCACAAATTCTGGCCAATGAAAACCTGTTTCAAGCTGAACCTGCAGAAGAGAGTAATTCACAGCTCCTGTTTCAGACACCATCATAAATAAGTGATCTCTCTTCTCTGAAAGCGCACTTACCTTACATAGTAGAGAATGCTTCAAAAAGTCCTTGACAGTGTTTTCACACCCCTTTTCTTGCTCTCCAGCACTGAGCTTTTTTATCTCAGCCTGTGTGTACACTGCAAAACAAGTTCTTTGGGCAGCAGTAATAGAATATATAACTGAATGTATAGCTGAAGTAAACCAGAGAGGTCTGTGTTACCACAACTAAACTGTACCTGGAGTTGGGTGCTTCCATACTGATGTGCTTTGCTGACTATAGGCACACCCCTAGGGTGCATAACTTGTAATTAAATGTTCTTCATTGTCATTGTTGTTATTTATTAGTCTATATTGCTTTTCCATTTTCATATTTAAATTGTCTTCCTGAATTTCCTTGAGAACTCTGGGCTGTAGTTATTTGCCATGTCAGTTATGGGCTTCTTGAAGAAACCTGAGGTTACCTTATGGCATAAAGAGTTGTCTGTATTGTTGCTGCTTTTGAATGCTGTGCAAGCTGTATAAATTCTGCCAGTGGCAGGATATCTGTACATCTTTCAGAAATAGGTTTAGTGTTAGCAAGTAAAATAAATGTAATGTTGTGCATCTTTCAGTTCCCCAGTGCCAGTATTCAAAGTTAGTCTGCTTATATTGTCCATCATGTCCAGACTGACAGTTTTAAAGACCTAGTATAAAGACCAATAAAATCAGGAAAACATTAAAAATAAAATTTAAAAATCAGACACTTAAAAATGATAAAGATAAATGTTCTCACTGAATCTGTCAGAGACTTTCCCAGGTACACAGCAAGGATTTCATAGACAGAACATCCTTAATTACCTGATTAGTTCCCTGTGCTCACTTTAGCCTGATATAGCCTAAAAAAAAAATCATTTCCCTACTCAGTGCTGATGAACATTACTATTTTTTCTTTCTGGGTGGGGTTTTGCTTCATATTCCCCCTTCAGACTTTTGATGCATATTTAATAGGAACAACATTAGTCTTAATGCCTAAATCTGTGGTGATGTTCATTAGATCAAAGTTTTAAAATAGTCAATGGATGAATATGATTTTGTTCCTAAATAAAGCAATTGTTTTACAGGATGCTTTTCAATGAAATTCAATGTGTGAGCTCTTGTATCAATTTAATTTCATTATGCCAGCATGTTTACTGTGCTAGAGTACTATGCTAGAGTTGAGTCAGTATTTCCATTATAATATCCTCTTTTACAACTGTAAAATTAGTATTGTGCTCTTTAGGGAGTTTTAATCCAGATGTAAAGAATGACTTAGGGCAGAAACTTGACATGTAATGTTTCAACAGCATATATTTTGAGGAAAAAAGAAGATGTAATTTCAGAATACAGTGCATTAGTAGATGGTTTAGAGTTATGAGGGCAGAGGAAAAAATTAACTGCACACTTTGATTTCCAACCCAATTTCCAAAAATTTTTTTTTAAAAAAACCCTCCTAGACAACCATCATAGGAATTTTTTTTTTTTTTTGCATGTGTTACTGATGCTTTATATAAATCAATTCAGAAGGAAGGGGCAGGGATATGGTGGGAAAGAGATGCATATGAATTCTTCTTCAGTTATACTTTGGTCAGAAGCACCAGAAGTAGAACTTTACTCAGAAGCAGCTATTTCTTTTCACATTTTTAGTTAATGTATGTATTTCAACATGATTTTAAGACTGTAACAAAAAATAGTTGTTAACATTTTTCACTCACAAGGATTTATAATTTTTTTTCAAAAACAGAGGCATAAGCCATTATTTTCTCTCGTAATCTTCTCTGTAAAAAGGCATTGGAAGCCATAACTTTCCCCATAATTATATTTCTTTGTTTATTCCATATATTTGAAAGTGAAATTGTAATTAGGCTTTAGGATTTTTTTTTCAAGCCACTTTCCTATGTAGGTAAGGAGATACCATCATCCTTCTGTCGCTCATCAGGTCCTGAATTAAGGTGGAATTTAAATAACAATTTCAGGTGGAGGTGCTTGGGTGGTTAACTAACCCTTCAAATGTTTCTGTGGGGTGTGAACCAGTTTTGGAAAAAGGCCACATTAAAAAAACTTGTATTAAAAATTTAAAACTAATACTTGAATGTTCTGAGTATCAGCAACTGTAAAGAACGTTGCAGCAAGCATCACCACCTCAAGCTGTCCCTTTTGTTGTGTGTTTGACTGGCACACAATGACTTTGCTTAGAGGGAGGACAAGTTCAGGACAAGGTGGGATGGCCTGTGTGTGTGACTGTGGGACCAACATCTGTGTCCTGGGCAGCTGAAGCCTGACGCTTCTGAAGTGTCAGAAGAGAGTCTGAGCAGCCACCAACTGAGCTGTCCCTCATCTGCTTGTGGGCTCTGTGTGGTTTCCCATGCTCTGATTTGGTTAGCCTTCCTTGAAGTCACAGATAAAAAATCTCTCTAATGTACAAATTCAGAAATAGCTGGTGACATAGGTGAATTTAAATTGCTCTCAGATGCCAAATGTATCCTTCTAATTCAAACAAATACATTCTTTCCTTGAGCTCATGCAAATAATGACTTATTAAGCCTTGTGATGCTACATCACTGTGGTGGTAATCTTTATTTCAGTGTTCTGAAAGGCAAGCTCAGCAGATGTTTCCTGCATGTGTGCTTTAAATTATCTGTTCCTGCTCTCCTGTGTTTTATATGGCTTGGTGATTAATTTGACTGTTTTCAGGGTCTTTACTACATGGAAAATTTTCAGCTTCTCTTGCTGTTTATACCAACGTTATCTCTAGAAAGGTTCATGCGTGGCCGCAGTCACAGTGCCTGGTTACAGTGTGTGTGTTCTGTCCATGCAGCAGTCCTGCATCATTCTCAGCAAACATCTCCTGCCCACAAACCAAACCACCAGCTCAGAACTGTTGGCAGCCTTTCCCTAGGGAAAGTGCGTGACGTGGGCAGGCAACCCCTAGCCCAGTAACTTCAGATGCTGTACAGTTGCCTCAGCCACGAAGAATTAAATTAATGGTTTTACTTTGCAGGACTTTAAATGCGTATTTTACTGTAATTCAGTTTCCTGTATGCTTTTCCACTCAGTTTTAGGTGGGGAAGCAAACCTGGAAGGAATATTTAACCTTTATTAGTGTCACACAGGCTGACAGTAGGAGAGTTAGGAATGCAGCTAATGCTTCTTTGAAATAAATAAAAAAGGGAGAGAGAACAACAAGCCCAAAGTGGCACATTAATACTTGATGTAATGCCCTTTTTATTTCTCTTTGCAGGTGACTGTTACAACTATTGGCTATGGAGATAAAGTGCCACAGACTTGGATAGGAAAGACAATTGCATCTTGTTTTTCAGTGTTTGCAATCTCATTTTTTGCACTGCCTGCGGTAGGTTATCTTGTACTTTGTGACAATTTAATGTTGATTCATTGGTTATCAGAGGGAACTTTTGTTACTGATTCTTTAACCTTTCATTTAACCTGGTGTTGTGTAAGCTTTGTATTAAGTTTCTGTATTGTAGCTGAAATTTGTGTAGCATGTAGAAAGAAAGGAACTTCTAGAAGTAGCTAAATAAATATGCAGTGGTTTTTGTACGCAACACTAGATTTGAGAAGGATTTGTATTTGAGAAAGAGACGTTTAATTCCTAGTAATTTTCCCAGCCTTTCTCAGAGGTGTGATGGAAATTATTTGTAGTTACTTCTTAGTGATGACTTAGCAAGGTTTTGGGTTTTTTAAGGCATTCACTCTTAGTTTACTCAACTGATTAGGTCCAAGGTGAACTGGAGAATTCTCATGTACCTTCTTCTTCTAGAAAAGCTTCCAAAAAGATGTCGCTGGCAAAAAGACAGCGATCAGCAGCCAGAGACACTGCTGCAGCTCTTCACAAAATTAATATCTGTCCATGGCCAAAGTCCTGTTTTCCAAAGTGACCTAGAGCTGACCTCTTAAAGCTGTTATGGCACTTGGTTTGCACTGACAACAGGTTCTTGAGTGCTTTCAAAGAAGAAATAAGGTACTTGTGCACCAAGGCTAAATTCAAAATCAGCAAAACTTTGCAGTTTGAAAACCCAAATATTCAGTGTTAGGTGTAGTTAAGGGTATGTTTTCTACAGTTTAGTAATACTCCTGAATTGTGCTGAAATGTTTGTGCCACCTGAAGCATTCTGTTTACATGTTTATTTTTTCCATTCAGGGACACAAGCAGTTGTGTTAGCAGATGTTTGTGTGGTTCTAATGAGGAGGTGGTGGGGATGGTACAGAACAGATAATATGTTTTTTCCAGTACCATCACAAAAGTTCCTCACAGCATGAAACAGTAGCTGATAAAACTCCAGTGACCTTTTAAAATTAGTTGCCTACTTTAAAGGTACATTACTTTTTACAGAGGAGGATAATTAATTTTTTTAAATTCCCCAGCATCAGTTTGCCTTTAAAGCATATGTTTCCCCCCCTCCTCATTCTAATCTCTTCCACTTTTATTTTAGAAGAAGAATCAGATAAGTGAAATGATTGGTATGGGAAATGCCAAAAGCTACTGTTTTGACTGAAAAATGTTGATGGTGGGGTGTTTGTTTTGTTTGGGTTTTGTTTTGGTTGATTGTTTTTTTAAAATCAGTCTAAAATGCCACAAAAATGTTTTATAAATGATTGTGTAGCAGCCGTGCCTTCACAGCCGTGTTTTGTGTTTACCTGTCAGGTTTTCCTAATCTTTGTTGAAGTAGAACAACACCAAGCACCACTTTATTAGTGGGATTTTCCTTACTGAATGAAGCTGCTCCTGTGAGTTGGCCCAAGGGGGAATTCAGGGTTTGGAGCTCTCTTGCAGGCTTTCTTGTTGGTGTTTTAAGTAAGAGGATCTGGCTGAGATCATAGTCAAAAGTGATTGTAGTGGCTAAATGCAACTGGTGTGGGTTCTGGATGAGGCAATGATCCCTCATTTCCCAAATATGTGGCATTTGAGCATCATCATCTCTCTGATCTTTACTAAATGAACATAATAGGAAGGGCATTTCATGTTATTTTCAAAATATTTAATGATTAATAGAGTTCTTAGAGGTAAAGCCAAGATCCCTGGCCGCTCTGATGCCTTCTACTATGCATAGAAAAAGAATTGTGCTTTCCTTGTGTAGGTGTAATCATGTAAGCTGATTTATAAAAGATTTAATTTTCACCTCTTACTAAAACTTGTGTTAAATATGCCTATACCTGTGCAAATGACCACATAAATGGCTTGCTCTTTACTTAAATTTGGACTTCATACCTATGCTACGTTTGGAGTCTAGTTCAGATTTCACACTATCCAGTGCATTAATCCATGTCCTGACTGTTAATTAAATGGCTTTGTGTTCAACTCAGTTGACCATTTTGAAATATGTCTTTTTCTCTTCTTCGTTCTCTTTCCTCACTCCCACCATGAATTCAGATATGGAAATAGAAGTTACCATACCACAGTTAAAAGGTCTAGAGGCTTACACCATGCCCTGCCAAAGCTTTATTTCTCATAAAAATGTAGTTAAGCCCATCAGGCTGATTTTTTTCCCCCCTTATTCTGTCATTCCCCTACACAAGCCTTTGTGAGACTTTTAGAGGGTATGAAATATCATTTCTTTTTCCTTTTTCGGGTCTGAGTCCAGCAGGCTTTGCATCAGGGCATGATAGCATTCACAGTTTGCTTCAGCAAGTAATATAATTGAGACTGAAAATTTCACTGTATTAAGTCATTTCCTCTAAATAATTACTTGGGTTTTATGATGCTGAATAGAAGTTCATTTGCACAACATAATTTGGCAATTTTATGTGTGGTTCTTTCCCTCCACTCTTACAAAAAAAAAAAAAAGAAGAAAAAAAAAAGTTTTTTTTCTCTTTCCACAGGGAATTCTTGGTTCAGGCTTTGCCCTAAAGGTACAACAGAAACAAAGACAGAAGCATTTCAACCGTCAGATTCCAGCTGCTGCCTCACTCATACAGGTACTGAGTTCTTGCATATTGCATGCTGTCATTTCTTTCCATTTATAGTAGGTTTTTTATTGGCTTTTTTGGTTTTTTGTTGGTTTTTTTTTTCCCCCCAAGCTGTTGGCAGTTTTCCCCTCCCTGATTCCCATTAAAACTGTACAGGAGTTACAGACACACGTTTTGGAAAGCCAATCTTTAATGTTAACTAATGAGCAGAAAAGTACACTCCTAAATCAGTGTAAACTGTTTAATTGGGCTGGTTAAAATCAAAACTGAAAGCTATCCTGTAATTACTGAACAGTTTACCTGGGAAAAATGTTATGAAATGCTTGTAGTAATGAAAAAACAAAGAGGAGGCTTCATATAGAATTGTGCTTTTAAAAAATACATTGTTGCTTGTAAAGACAAATGTCAAATATGCTTCAGTTGGGACAACTGAATTCTTAAAAATCTCAGATTTAGGAGAAATAAGTCAGAATCTTGAATAGGTTGGACTTGTCAGCTCTAGAGTAGGTGGCTGGGAACCACTGGGATTCTGTGAAATAATTCTTTTCAGGATATGCAGGATAAGTGACAGGCAGGAAAATATTGATCCCCCTGTTAAAAATGCAATTGCAGTTCAGTATCAGTATGGTTAAGGAGATTTTGTCCTTTAATGCATTGGAGCCAGCATGGCACCCTGGAGAAGTATTAACATGGTTTCATTCTAGCTTTTTCCAGCTTTTCTCCCTCTACTCAGTACCTGCACATGGCTTCAGAAGCACAGAGATCAAATTTAAAAGAACACTTGATATACACCATATAATTTTTTCATTCTCATATGACTTACTTCTCTAGCTTCATGAGTGAATGTGAGTTTCCAGTCAGGATCTTTATGGAAACAGTAGCTAACTGTGAAGTTTATGCTTGAAACTAAACAGTCCCAGAGTTAATGTGACAAAGACCCTGGTTATAGCCAGAGATTATCTAAAAATCTTGAGACTCATATGGTATGGTTTTGTAAAGAATGGATTTTTTTTAATGTTCCCATTGATTCTTTTGGGAAATTAACACCAAATTATTGGGAAGCCTGAGACTGCATGTCCAGAATGTTGTGCTTGGATCCATCAGAAAAGTTGAGGAGTAGAGGATAGACAATGGGTTGCTGAGTACCTGTTCTTAATGGTTTTAATTATGATTTACTAGTAGTCCTGGACTTCTGAAAGCCCAATTCAGGAAGTGCTCTACAAAGGAGTTATAAAAAGATTGTTCTTAAGCCGAGATGTTTACAAAATAGGTACAAGACAAGAGAACAGTCCAGATGAATTTTCTTTCATTGTATTCCTTCTTGGTTTCTTCTAGAGGTCATTTATTTCTTCTAATATTCTGTTAATCATGGAGGGGTTTATATGGTGATTGTCTTTTCCTTTCCAACTGCTGTCCGTTTTCCTCTCTCATTCTGCCTTGCTCTGTTTCTTTCATCTAGGGTTTTCTGGCCTTCCCTGCTTTAGATTGTTTGTGTGTGTGCCCTTTCTTCATGTAGTAAGTGAGGATGTGCCTTTTTAATTTGGAGATTCTTTATAAATGAATTCTGATATTTACACAGTTAAGAGAGAATGCAGTAGTGTTTTCTTGTTTGTCTTGTTTCCTAGCTCTGCTTTTCCTCCCTTTTCCATTAGAACACAGAACTTTAATCATTGGTGGTTGGCAAGGGGGAGGATTGGGTTTGGGTTTGGGCTCCTGGTTAACCACTGGTACTGTTCTGTTGTGCCCTCAGTTTCATTTCTTCATATGAATATAGCCGTACTGACCACATCAGAATTCCTTTTTTTTTTCTGATAGTATTTTTGTGAGGCATGAAAGAATAATTTTTGTCTTTTTCTGAGTTGGGGCCTGTAAGATAGGATGCAATAGCCAAAATGCCTAAAGTCAGGTAGGAAACTGGGGCAGAACATGAAATTTGGACCTTTTTTTGAGTCTAGTCTAGAGTTTTCTCACATTAGTTGTTTGTTGCTACTGAGAATAAAAGTTGCACTTGAAAAGACTGATCTTTGTGTGGTTTCCCAGTTCTAACTATGTGGTTTCTATTTACTAAATAAGGGTTCTAAGCCATGCTGAGTTTGTTTCCAGAGGGCAAATTCAAGAATATAATTAAATAAAGAATGACTGACATGCTTCTTGGAAGTTACTGGGCTGTACAGTGAGCCACTAATCTGATTGATTAATTATTCTGTTGCTTAAAACATTTGTTCCAGACTGCATGGAGATGCTACGCTGCAGAAAACCCAGACTCTTCTACATGGAAAATATACATTCGAAAACCTGCCAGGAATTATCATTTGCTGTCACCCAGTCCAAAACCAAAGAAATCGGTGATGGTATCAATAATTAATGTTTCACATTATAGTAATTAAAAAAATTAAATTCTATTGAGTTTTTGTCCTCTCTAGAGATTATTTGGTCTACTTGTTTTACAGATGATTACTTGGTTTCAAATTTTGATCTACATTTCAGTTTTGTCAGTTTCAGTATACAAACATTATAAACAAGAAATTGATTTGCTGAGTTTCCCCAAGGTTGACTTTTTTGACTGATGTAAGGGTTTGGAAATGAGTAATAATGACTCAGGCACATCCATCAGTTACTTACCGTTGTTGTTTGGAAACTATAAGGACAGGTAGAAAAAAAATCACCATTTCTGAAATAGTAGCTTTTAATTGATTAAAACAAACAAACCCAACAAAACTTTTATTTCTCTCAGCTATTGATTTTATGATTTTCTAAGCCTTCTTGCTAAAGACTTCTTGTGCCTACATACAGTAATAATTGTCATATCAACAGATTCCATAAATTCGGATTTTTTTTTGTTTTATATGCAGTAACAAAACACCTTTGTCAGAATCTTTAGATTATATAGTACACCATCCTCTGTATTATAAGAGTATTGCACAGCAGTTTCAAGCTAGAAGGAGAGGATCTTGCACAAAAATCTTCACTTGTATCTCCAAGGTTCATCTGAGTTCAGTAGCAATACATCCATTGGCTTTGTGCAGAAGGTGTGATTTATGGCATCCATAAAATGATAAAATATTCTGGAATAGTTTGATTTATATAAGCTGCTGCATAACCAGCACATTTTCTTTTTTTACTGTGGGCAAGGGATTTGGAAATGACAATGTGCAGAAATCTAGTGATTAGCCAGTTTTGGCAGGATGAGGGGCAACATAATGAGAAACACAGTGTAGGATCATGAAAATGTAATTCAGGCACTCTTAATTGGTTATAGCTCATTGGGGACTGTGTCATTATTAAAGACATCACTGAAGAGACATCTCCATATGACTTGGTTTGGGTAATTTAATTTATGTGTGCTTTTTTAGGTTAAAAAGAAGAAATTTAAGTTAGACAAGGACAATGGGCCTTCTTCTCCAGACAGGATGTTGGCTATACCACATATCACTTATGACCACGTGGCAGAGGACAGGAAACCTGATTTCAGTTTTGAACCATTTGAAAATTCTGGTAAGACGCTCCATTATAAAATGCCAGTAACTGTGATGAGTTCTATGATTAGATTTGCATACAGATCCTTTTTAGTGTCTGTATTAAAGAAGGAGAGAACAAGCTCTTGTCATTCTAAAGCGAGAATACTTTGCTTTTTTGCCTTTGGTTGCTGGCTTGTGTAGGTGAGATTTAACCACTGCTTTAATGAGGATGCTCCACTGCAGACAAATAAAATTATCTCTCATTTCTGCCTGTTGGAAGAGCTAGTGACTCTTAGGTTGGTGCATACATTTTGCAATTGGAATTCTTCAATTGATTGAATTTACAGGGATTAGCTGTCAGCTTTTCCATGTGAAATTTACCCAGGATGTGTTATTATTGTGCTTGTACCTGAACCAAAAAGGAATGGTGTGCCTTGGCTGCACCAAACATAGTCTGTTACATGAAACCATCATGTGCTCATGCCATCTGCTCAGTGCAGTAGGCTGAGAATCAAGTTTTGAAAGCAGAAGTACTTAAGATAAGTGTGGATCCATCTGTATTAAATGTCACTGTACAAAATGGTACAGTATGAGGAAAAAGAAGAGAGGACATTAGAATCACCTTATGATTAATAGCTTATTTATATTTGCTTTTGATGTACTGAACTCCCAAAATAGCTCTGAATTTACAATGTGGCATTTTTACAAATGTACTTTGATTGGAAATTTTTTAAGTTATTGTTCAAATTCAGACAACAAGAGCAAGGTTTAATTTTTAAGGTGTTTTTTATTATAGATACCTTAAGTACTTCTGTTTTTTCTCTTCAAAAATTTGGCTGACAGGAATAAATTTAATGGGCTTTAAACTAAGACAGCAACGTGGGCTGCCACTGGGCATATTTTAGTTCAAGAAGACAGTCTTGACTTCTGTGTGCTATTTTGGTGTGCTTTGTTGTGTTTTTCTGCATCGTCCATGCTTTTCCACTCTTTCTTGGCCTCTGCTAAGGAATGGTTGCAAATTGCATCTGGTGGTTGAAATGACATAGCTGCTAAAAGGTGGACGAGTACTGAGCTAAGTGTGTGTCTCAAAACTTTAGTACAGACCTTTCTTCAAAACAAATGACAGAACCTTACAAATGCTTAAAGTCCCACCTTTTACCACTAAGCTTCTGAGATTATTAAGGGCAATTATTATTTGATGGCAGTCTACTGCTGCCATTTCAAAAATCAGCTCTGTAGCTTTCAGTAAAAGGTTTTTCTCTAATTTCTTCTGACACTTATCTCTTTTCTTTTTTATCTGTGTTCTCCTCTATAAACTGTTACAAGTATACAGGACAAACAGGAATGTTAAAATTGCTTGGTAAGTTGAGGAAAATACTTATATTTGTGGCATGCCAGCTTATGACAGCATAATGTTTGCAGTGTTTTTCATGTGTGTCTAGTGCCATATAATTTCTAAGAAATCTTTTGCAGCCAAGGAGATCTAGACAGACATAAAATGTACATTCTCACACTTGTAATCACAACTGCACCTAGTCTCACTACAAGGAGAAATGTGAGCACTCATTTGTATAAGTAGATGATCTCTAATGGATTTTTATACTTGAGAAAAATGGCTCTTATATATACAACCAAGAGAAAAATATAATTTCTAATAAATAAAATCTAATTCATCCAGTTGTAATCTAAGGATATGATGTGAATTCATTTCTAAATAACTATATTAGGATGGGAGAAAACTTTCAGATTTGACCCCCCCAGTGTTGTGCATTCTGAAGTACATGCATCTGTTCCTGTAAAAATGTGCTGTAGATATTTGTGAACAGATGGGGACCCATAAATTAAATAATTTATTTTACTGTTTGTCTGGATTCTGTGATCACTTAAGCAGCCATGTAGACTTGTGGTGTTTCTAATGTGCTTGCTTAGGCACTTTCTTACCAATTGAGTGTTCCCCAAAGACAGTAGGATTAGAGCTAGGTCGGGGCAAAAGACCTCTGTGATTTAGTGAGTGTGCTATGAGCCACCTGTAAGTTTTCTGCTCTGAAACCACTACAGACAACAGAGGCTTCCTTCCAGTGATCGAGTGCAAGGATGCTCAGGCTCGGATTAAATTGACTGAAATGGCAAGTTCCAGTTTCACCCCTGAACCCACATGGGACACAGGTGAAATTAAGGTGTTAAAACAGCAAAACCAGACTGAAGCTCCTTGGCTCCCCCAATCAATCCTTGATTTTTCCAGTTTCCATCATTTCAAGAGGCGCATCTCTGTTGGGGATGGACATGGTGGAACAAGATCAGGAGGGCAGTGAGATCCACCAAACAAATCACTTGTTTTATGTGAAATTCCTTCATCTTGGGAAAATATCAGAGAAGCTTTACCAGCCTTCATAGGTTCAGTTTCTATGTCCCAGCCAGGCAGCCAGAGCTCAGTAGACCGTGGGACTAACACTATTCTCACAGCAGCTCAAAGACAGAGTGTTATTTTACTTACTGTGAAAAAGATTACCTACTCAGAAAACTGGAGCTGCCAAATCAAAAGCACAAAAGGAAGAAACTAGGCAGTACAAGGATAAAGGATACTAATTCAACTTCAGTTTGATCTTCAGAAAGGCTGTAATAACATATCCATGTGATGCTTTCTCACATTCAGTAAATTTTTGGGCTGCCCACTTAATTCTTCAGTCTTCACACTCTTGGATCTCTCATCTTGCTTCCCTGCCATTATCTTTGTGCAACCAGAGATTTCCAGCTTTTTTTCCCTCCTTTCTTTCTCTTGGTATCATCTGTTCAGCAAAGACCAAAGGAGCCATGGCCTATCCTGGCTACTGCTAAAAATAACCCTGTCCCAGCTGGAACATGTGTGTAGCACTGAGAGAACACTTGAAAAACGAGGGTTTTTTCCTGATGTTTTTTTTTTTTTTACTTCAATACATGTTTTATTTTGAGTTTTTCTCATTGCATAAAAATAAGGCACCATTCCTGAAAAATATCAGCCTGTTCAAGTGTATGAATTCACAGGCAGTTCTTAATGAGGTAGTTATTAACAGCATATTATGTTCAAAAGAACTAAACATAAGGTAAAGATTGTTTTTTGCTGAGACTCTCATCATTGATTCCTCTTGCCTGCCTGAAACATTTCCCCAAGAAATTCAGCTTGAGGCAGGCACTTGTTTTACATGGTTGAAGTGGGCAGCTTCAAAAACTCTTTATGGGATGTGTTTGGAAGCTTCAAATGTGATGTCAAAACTGCCCCGTCCACCTGGCACTGAGACCTGCTTTGTGAGCAGGGTGAACCAGAGCAAGAGGCGTCTGACCCATGGGAATTTGGACAGTTAGGAAAGAGAAAGACTTGAGAAGCCCTGAAGTCTGGAGGAAAGGGGCAAACAGAGACTGGCCTGTAGGGAGGAATATCTTGCAGCAGTTGGCATTGCCGTGAAAAATGGGCTTGGAGAAGCAATGACTCCTCCATAGTGGCAACTGAACATTCTGCCAGCACGTAATGCACTCTTGCACAGTTTCATACACTATTTTCCACAGTATTTTTCATTTTGTGTCAGGTAGAACATAATAAATTTTGGGTATGTCTGCATCTCCTCAGCTGTCTGTCTGGACCTTCTTTCTTTTTTGTTGGTTTTTTTTTCTCCTCTCCCATCTCTGTTTCATGTGCATCTTCACTCTGACTCAGATTGTCAGCGCTCCTGGCCATCCTTTTCCACAGACCAGCAGTCTTCCAGCGCTCCTTCCTCTCCAGGTAAAGCTCATAATAATTAAGCACTGTTCCATCATATTTCATCGCCTTTGTTAATTACTAAATCTTAGTTCTGTCTGGAGCTGTCTACTATGGCACAAAAAATTATAAAGCTGGTTTCTAAAAAGAGGTGTTTCAGAAGAATTTTGAGTTTGGAGGTTGTTCAGGTTGTAAATTGAAATGTGTAAATTCACCCACTGTTATCTCTTGAAAACTAGTGTCTAAAGTGTCAGGGGTTTTTCTGTTTAGCCTTCATATTTAGAAATTGTATCTTTTTTTAGTATTTTTTTAACACTGCTTTCTAAGAAAGACTTATCCAAAGTCTAATGGCTGTGAATTTATTTTTATAAGTAAAAATTGAGCTCCCTGGTGTTCTGCTTGAGCCCTGTTTCAAGGCACTTTGAAGCAGAGAAACTCTCATTAAGGCCATGCTCTTTTCTTAGTTATGATGATCTTTGAAATTTTTAAAACAGGGGGAAGGAGATACATTTGCCTCATACTAATCAGCTCCTGCTGTCTGTGTACTCACACAAGAATTCTTTCAAATAGTCTGAGGCTCAGTCTTGACTTCTGGTTCTTTTTGCATTGTGCCAGTCCTTCTTTCCCCTCCCATGAAACTGAAAAGCAATAGGTGTGAGTGATCCAAGGATGTCTGTTCCTGCAGATCCACTTGTGCATGGAGTGTGCTGTGTCTCTCATGAGCACAGTCTAGTGAGTGTTCAGCAAACCCTTTACATGGCTGCAGGTTCAGCAGTTTTTATCACTTGCCATCAGGAAAACAAAAACATTTGTGAGTCCTTATTTGCTAGAAACTGTGAAAGTTTCATTTATGTCTTGTAGAAATTAAAAAAGTGAAAATTATTTCAGTGAAAGCCCAAAGAAGTCTATCTAAAAGACATTTCACTGCACATCTCTATCTGGAATTATTTTGCTGGTTTCACAGCCATTTTTTTTGAATGATGGCTACAGCAAAGTGATTAAATAGCATGATACTCCAATGTTAGTATGACACTAAAAGCAAAATATAGAAATTAATGCTTGCTAAAACATAGTACAGAATTTTAAAGTGTTACAAGTGGTTTCTGCTTGTAATAAATGTATCTCCTAGCAGTTCTCTTATTTGTTTGTTTGTTTATTTTAAACTTTGATTTCAGAGGTCATCCTTTCCTGTTATAACTTCTGGAGTACAAAGACTTTCCTTTTGTAGTTTTGGACAGCCATGTTCTTAATGATTCAATAATACTTTCTCTTCTGTTTTTTTATTTTTTTAAATTCAAATCCATTTCTGCCATATGAAAATACCCAATTACCTGAGTAAAGTGGTTGCATTAAAATAAAATAATTTTTTCCTGATATTCTCACTTCTATTCCCAGAAAACATCAGCTACATTTAAATTATCTATTTCTGTTGTATTCCTTTAGGTTTTGTATGGCTTTTTGGCAGGACATTATTTACTGATATATTATAAAATATTTTATTTGATAGAGTTTTCATAAATTACTACATTATAATTGTTTTATTGGCTATTCCAGCCACTTGGACAGACAAAGGTTTCTGTGGACTTGTCACAATTACCTGTGATTTATATGGAATATTACCAAGTTTTGTTTTCTGTAAATTTGTTTACAGTCATGTGAACCACACCAGTGGTTTTATTTATATACAAATGTTGTGGCTTCTCTAACAAATGGTAGGGCCAAGCTGGAAAAAGCACTTGGTGTTCTTAATGTTAGTATGTGACAGAATTTCAGAGCCTGAGTTTAAAAATGAAAACTGTAACACTCTCCCTGATTTCTTGGCTATGTAAAACTGATGATCTGCAAGTAACTTCCAGTAAAACTTTCAATATCTGAAATTTTGTGAATCAACCTCCCCAGTAAGAACCTCATCTGTGATGAACTGGAGATCTTGCCACCTGTCCTGATTCTGAGCCTCAAGATGAGGTGGCCCAGTGCCTTAACGTGAGAGGGAACCAGCAAATTTTCTCTAAATAATGCATGAAGCCCTCTGCCATATGGATTTTGAACACTCTAGTGTATCAGGAGTATGAATAACAACAACAACAACAAAAAAAGGAATAAAATATTAGTTTTAATCTTCACCGGAAGTTTAAATGCTTTGGGCAGAGGAAGAGTTAAAATTTTTCTTTTTGTGAACTCTGTGCTATGTGCAATTTTTGTAGCAACTTTTCTTTTCAGTATTCTTTTAACATGTACGGTATTTCAGAGGTCCAAATGAGTGGCAGCCAAATGCTGTTGCTTGAACTACTATCTGCATGTTTTTTCCACAGTAAAAAAGAGCCCAGCATTTCTAGATGTGAACACAGGACCCTTCATCAGGACCAGCAGCTTTGCCGATGAGCTTGACCTGGAGGGTGAGACACTGCTGACCCCAATAACTCACATCTCACAGTAAGTCCAGGCTGTTGAACTGTGCAGTGGCTGACTTGGACAAGAGAAGGCAGTTCAGGTGGGAGGAGCTGATAGGGCTCAAATATCTCAGATATTTGCGTCAGACACTTTTCACCTTGACGTTGGTGTATCCTGTTCTAAGTGCCAGTAAATCTTCATGCTGACCTAAAGACAAGTTCACTTGGCTGTGACACAAGGCTTTAGTTTTTAGCTAATGTCTCTGGGCAGCTGGTGGCTGACAGCCTCAGGATTTTTATGTGGAGACAATCTGTGGGAGTACTTGCCTGTTGAAGGTTATCTTGCTCCCTCCAACATTTTCCAGTGGAATAGCTGTAAAGTGCAGATTATAAATACTACTTGTATGAAATACAAGTCTCTCCATTTCAGCAGCACTTTATCTAATAGTCAAACTATGTTCTGCATTGGAAGATCGGTTTGATCATCATGATTATTGTTTTGTTTTATATAGAAAAAAAAGATCTGAAATAGGCCTGTAGGTGGTGGGGTGGGGTGGTGGTATGGTGGCATTTTCCCTTTAGGAAGAAGATTTTCCACTTGTCTTTTATGCTAAAATGGTATCTTCAGGTTCTCAGATTATTCTAAAATAAAAAGAGAGTTGCAGCAGTTTTGTTCTCATGCCTTTAAAAATAAATCTTCTGGCATTTAATTCAAAATCCTGAAAAATGTTTATTGTTTGCCATACTAGACGTGTGGCAGTATATTGTCTAGCAGAGGAATTAAACCATTTTTTCCCCTCTAGAAATATGAGGATTTCTGCAGTGAAACCACAGATGAAAATTCGTGGCATAATTGTATTTCTGATGTACAAAACATGCAGAAATGCTTGCTACCAATTTCCAAGCCTTCTTCCCATATATATTATAATTAACAGAGAAGCACAAACATTCTTTTTAGAGCCATTTTGGAAGGGCATTTATTAAAGAAAAAGAAATGTTTTGGTGAAGCCTTCCCTGTCCCCAAACAGAGGTATTTGCATTTTCATCTGATTCACCCAAGTGTACGTCTGTTTGTAGCCAGGGAATTTAAGAGACTTGTATTCTGGAAGATTTCTCAGTGGTACAAGCAGCAGGAGGAAGTAATAAATTTTCTCAAGCCTTTGACAAGAACAGTGGAGCAAGAAAACCAGATCTAGATGTTTTCTCTGTGTAGCTTGTTTAAAACTTTATTTTGCCTCAACGTTGCAGGCTTTTTTCTTTTTTTATATACACTTAGGTGCTAAGAGTTGCCATTATCCTCTCTGGGTTTGGGAACTATTTAGTTATTTATTAGTGACACATTTCAGATAATAAGGCACTCCATCATCTTTAACTCCAACCTGTATAGCAGCTGAGATTTTTTTTTTTCTATTAATTACTTGTGGAAAATTTTAGAATATTGGCAGTGTGTTTCAGATGAAGAACCTCACCAAATGAACACCCTAGGCTTTCAGTAGCTTATATAGTTCTCTTTTACTCTCCTAATTTTTGGTTGTAACCTCCATTGAAATTTCCCTGGATTGTTCTAAATCATGAGTAGGACAGTACAAAATGTGTATGCCACAGCTTGAACTGAGTCTCTGCTGGGGTGGAAGAAAATAGAATTCATTGGTTCTTTTAAGATTTTTGGATTAGATTCACAACTGAAGAAATTGTATGAAATGTATAACTGGATAAAATATTAATTTAAATGTCTCTTTGAAATATAGGTGCCCAAATGTAGATTCTGAGAACTGTTTGCTTGGAAGTGCATTTACTTTGTTTGCAGCTAATTATAAGACCTTAAACAGTGCCAGATCAGCACCAGATATGAGGGTTAGTCAAAAAGTTAGTGAAAATCCTGTGTTTTTAAATACAAACCCAAGTACTCAACAAAACTATAGCACCAGCTATAGTACAGACAAGTCAAATTATGTGTGAATATATCTAGTTTCAGGTCTTGAAAGCAATACTCTATCAGAGAAACAGAAACACAAAGACATTTTCAGAATTGGAAGCATGATGTAAAACACTTGATCTGAGGATGCATGGATTTGGGATTCATAGAACTATTTCCTGGCCAATTACATATTTATTGCTACATGTGAATTAACTTATCCATTAATCACAGAAAAGTGACTCCAGAATAGACATTAATTTTTGAAAGTCATGAGTACGTGAGTAAATTTTATGTAGTTAATTTGAGACACTCAACTAGAAAGTGACTTTTGGTTGACAGTATGGCAAATATTCCCTTTCGACAGGTGCCACAAATTTATCAGAAGAGTGGGGCACCTGCTGTGGTACTGAAAAGCAAACACTTGGCATCCTTGTGGTTTAAAAGCCAATGAGGCTGAGTTTTTTCCCCTCACTTGTCCTAGAAAGTAAATGCCAACTTTCAACCCTTATGATAAAGGGCTTAAGGCTTCTAGGCCTAAAGTCCCCCTTAAATTAAATTTTAGAGCCCTGCTTGTTCATGCAAAAATTGTTCTCTTTTGGTAAACGTAGATGTGTATTCTCACTGAGTTTAATAGGACTGGTTCTGTGTCAAAAAACAAATGCAGGTGTTGGGTATTTTTTTGCAGGACATATGTCCGACTCGATTTTAAATCTGTCTTGAAATAAACTTTTATGGAATTGCTAATGGAAAATCTTTCATTAAGATTACTCTATCAGTTAACTACTATCACTACCCCTTTGAGAAAACAAAAATAATAATTAAAGGACATTGAGGCTGGATATTCAGACAGGACTACCTATAAAATGATCTGTAACAGTTTTAAAAATGCAGTACACAGTGTGTTGTTTGTGATAGAGCTTGGCCCTTCAGTTTAATGTTTCTTGTGGTCTGTTGTGTTGTAAATGTGAAATAGAAAACTGGACTGCAGCAATACCACCCTTCTCTGGATTTCTCACTGGTTTATTTCTCCCAGTGTGTTTCCTGATTGTCTCCTGTTCTGCTTCACTGTGTTGGCTCTTTTGGTTTATTTGCATTTTAAAGCAGTGGAAAATCGGTGCTACTTGTAGCTGGTCCTCAGTCACCATAAGGCTCTTGTCCTATTTGTATAATTGCTTAACTTCAGCATTAGTGTGGAAGCATTAGTTGTAGCATTAGCTACTGCATGCATTTCTGGGTGTAAGCATTAGCTAAAATGCCGTATTTGTGATCCTGTTATTGTCTGTATCAAAATAACAATAATTCTTGGTTTTTCAATGATTCTTCCCCAGATGTTTCATGGACCTCATAATTGGGATGATGAAAATGCATTTAATTAGTTAAGCATTGGGTTTGTCTATTTACATATATAATAATTATTTTCCTGCAGTGACATACTGGTTTGATCTTAGATTTCATACAGGGGGCTTACACTTAAAGGAAAGCTTTACATTAAAAACAAAAAGTAATTAATTTTTGTTGTTAAGTGTATTTCCATCCTGAAAGCATTCTATGTCATGACATTTTAAAAATAAACCCTTCCTTGTTAAACAGTGTAATAGATGTAATGATTAAGCAAACAGATTTAGGGCTTTTTAATAATTTCCAGATTGAGAAGACATGATAACAGATCGAGGTTTCTGAATGATTGAAATGGATGCTTTTGATTGCTTTCAAATATTTGAGATAAAGTGTGCTGGAAAACACTGAATGCAATGTCCATGGTGCTGGAGTTACCACTGGCTTTTGTTGGAGTTAATGTTTTCCTTCTCTTCTCTTTTCTATTTTTATGAAGTCTTCTATATTTTAATTACCAGTATATAGGTTGTTGGCAAGAGATACAACCACATTGCCTAGAACAAACAGTGTTGTATTTGTCTTATAGCTCTCTCTTTTCTTTGGGATTATCAGTGAGTGGAATCCCTATTTGCTTTGATTTGCGAGGTCATATTGTAAGAGATTCCTGCTTTTATCTTCTTCTTCTATACCAAAATGACCCTCTGAGGCCTCAGCAAATATTTCAGTTTCGCTCTCAAACGGGCCAGATGGAAGACCTGACTTCTGCTGTCACAAAATTCCCGCTGGAATGCTGTTAACAACATTTAAACCATGACTTCCATGGGGTCCATTTTATCATTAATGACAGGGCATGTTGGAAGAACAGCAGTGATAGCAGCTATGTAAGAACATCCTTGAGTTAAGACCAGAGCTTAATGTTCACTCATCGCTGGTTACTGTCATGTGCCATTATTTCAGTCATTTACTTGACTTGCAACAGGAAAGGCTTCAGTGCTTGTTTACTGGACACTGGGCAGCATCCTTTTCCATTCTGTATGTTCCAGTGTGTCCTCAAGCTCCCTTAGGAATTCTGCTTACAATCTGCTGATTTAATAGTTTACTGAAAAGGGGAGGATTGTTTCCCTCAGTTATTTCCTTTGGTATGGAATAGCATTATTAAATCCTGTATTTCTTGTTACAAATTTACAATAAACTTGACCATAGAAATTGACCCTAGAACTCTGGATGTATCAGGAATCTGATAGTTTTATCTATTTGGCTGCTGGGAGACACTTGAGGATATGAAGTGTCCTTAAATCTGCTTTAAGAAGTCAGGTAAGTTCCTTTTTTTAGCCAAAGATTCCGGAATCATTGTAAATCAAGTTGCTCTAATGATTTCAGTGTCATCATCCCATTCTGATTTCTTGCTGCTGCTTGTATGGGAGAGCAAAAAGCTGTGGCAGTTCAGTCCTAAAAACGGATGACCCCTTATGTGAGCAGTGACCAAGGCAGTATAGTCATCAGAGAGGACTCAAAGAATCTCTGATGTGAGAAATTATTAGTTTGCTGTTAGCCCCAGACATAGGGGGCTGCAGAGCTTGCCTGCAGCTCAAGAGCTGGGTGGCTGTAGCAGAGCAGGACATCAGCAAACTTCTCTCTTACATGTTGAAAGGCAGATGGATATTTTAGTATGTTTGTCATGGCTTATAAGAATTTTATTTCTGGCTTATGAGTTACTAGCTAGGGGCACTGCCAAAATAGCTACGGCACACTCACTGTAGCAGCGAGCTAATAGTCTGGACATGGTGCAT